AAGACGAGAACAGAAACATGTTATCAGTGATTGTACCCCTCCTGCAAGGCAGTATAGCTAAGATTCAATGGTGTTTCTCATTGTGAGATGGGGTTTGGAGGATTGGGAGGAAGTCTGTGGCAGGAACGCCACAGCTGGTATGCAACATTTTGTCTATTCAGAAGACTGCCTCATGGACTACTTTCTGTCTAACCTGACATGAAGTGCTAACACAACTACTGGATTTAGGATGCCTAGAGCTACTGAAAACAAGGTAGAGTGAAGATGTGTTGTTATAGAACCAGAGTACCTGCAATGCAGGAGGCCTCACAAAAGGAAAAGACACGACTCATGAGTTCTCCCTTGAGATTAAAGAACTGAGCATGAACCCAGTGTTCAGATTTTTCAGAGACCTGCCCCAGGGATAGCATATGTCTTGCCTGATTTTGGAAGCTGATGTATAGGGATCACCGAGCGCACACAGCAGGGCAGCTTGTTGTTATAACATCTAAGAACCTGCAGTATCAGAGAGACACTAGAACATCTTCTGAAAAAAAAAAAAGTCGTAAGTTCAAACCTCAGTAACAACTGCACCAACTGCATACACCCGTAATACTCAGGAGGATGTAACTGAGGAGGCAGAGATCAGGAGGATCACAACTGCCAACCCTGGGCAAACAGTTCATGAGACCTTATCTCGAAAAAACCCATCACAAAAAAGGGCTGGTAGACTGCCTCAAGTGATACAGTGTCCAATTAAAAAAAATTGGCACAAAAACCAAAGAATGACACTGCATTTTCCAGGTATGAAAGTACACATCTGTAATCCTAGCTACTCAGGAGGCAGAGAGGACTGCTGTTGGAAGTCCGGATGATTGCTGTTGGACTGAAGAAGGTATCCAGACCCTATCTCAATTAATAAAATCTAAACATGGTGGCATACACCTGTCATAACAGCTACACGGGTAGAGTAAATAGGAAGATTGTGGAACCAGGCCAGGGCACAAATACAAGACCCTATTCAAAAAATAACTAAAGCACAAAGAGCTGCAGGTGTGGGTAAAATAGTAAAACCAAATGCAAGACATCCTGAGTTCAAATACCAGTACCTCCCCCACCAAAGTAAAAAAAAAAAAGAAAGAGAAAAGCCAGGTGTTGGGGCTCACGCCTATAATCCTAGCTAATTGGGAGGCTGAGATTTAGAAGGATTCCAATTCAAACCCAGCCTGGACAAACAGAGAGACCCCCATCTCCAAAATAACCAGAGCAAAATAGACTGAAGGTATAGTTGAAGCAGAACACCTGCTTTTCAAGCTCAAAGCCCTGAGTTCGATCCCCACTCCCACCAAAAAAGAATAAATATACCAGAAAGATACGGCATCAGAGCACCCAAATACATGAAGCAAACATTGACAGAACTGGAAAAACAGATGGCAACACAGAGTTCCATACCCCACTTAACAATAATGGAGAAAACAACCACACAAGAAACAGCACATCTGAACAACACTACAGACCAACTGGACCTAACACACACATAGAGAAAATCCCACTCAAAAGAAGCAAAATATACATTCTGCTCAAGTGTACACAGAACATTCTCCAAAATAAATCGTATTAAATCACAAGACAAACCTTCAGAAATTTATGAACAATGAAAGCATACCAAGTATCTTCTAGCCACAATGGAAAGAAACTAGAAACCAATCGCACTATGAAAACTGGAAAAATCTTAAGTATGTGGAAATTAAACAACTTTTTTTTTTTTTTTTTTTTGGTGGTACTGGGGTTGGAACTCAAGACCTCACACTTGCTAGGCAGGAGCCCTCCTGAGGCAGGCTAGAATTAGGAAAAGTTAAGAACTCATAAAAGAATATATGACTTAATATTGCTGTGTCTGTAGATTGCCCAGGCCTGGCCCAGAGACCACCCTCACCTGGACCAGGCACCACTTTTGCCCCTCTCCACTCACTGATTATTGGATGGAAATTACCTGGTTCCTCACTTCCATAGGTCAGCATCGTTTTTGTTTGTTTGTTTGTTTTGTAGTAGTGGGGCCTGAACTCAGGGCTTACACCTTCAGCCACTCCACCAGCCCTTTTTGTAGTAGGTATTTTTGAGATAGGGTCTCTCAAACTGTTTGGCCAGGCTGGCCTCAAACCACGATACCTCTGATCTTGGCCTCCTGAGTAGCTAGGATTACAGGAATGGCAGGAAAGCATAAATTTTAAAAGCATCTGGAGAAGAGAACAACACTCTCTTGGCCTCCAGATTCCACCAGGGCCCCACCATGTTTCCTTTTGTATTTCCCTTCCCTAGCTTTTAATAAACTCCATTTATACCCTCATGTTCTGCCGTAGATTCTTCCCAGTGGAACACAAAGAATGTGGAAGTCTTCTGGTCAGACTCCACCATGCCACTAACACTACCACTAGAGCCACTCCACCAGCCCCTTAAACATCATTCTTGAACAACCAATGGATCAAAGATGAAATCACAAGGCAAATTAGAAAACATTTTGACACAAATGAAACACAGCAACCAAAACTTGTGGGATTGAGGAAAAACACTACTAAGAGGAATGTTTAAATCGGTAACTGCCTAGATTCAACAACAAAAAAAAGACCTCAAGACAACAATCTTAATTTACACTTCAATGAATTAAAAATAGATAAAACTAAATTCCAAGTTAGCAAAAGAAAAGAAACAAAGAATAGAACAGAATTAAACAAAGAGCCAGGTGCTTGTGGCTCACACCTGTAATCCCAGCTACTTGGGAGGTAGAGATCAGGAAGACTGAGGTCCTAGGACAGCCAGGGCAAATAGTTCACAACACCCTACCATGAAAATATCCAACACAAAAAAGGGACAGGCAGAATGGCTCAAGTGATAGAGCACCTGCCTAGCCGGAATAAGGCACTGAGTTCAAGCCCCAATACCAACCCCTCCCCCAAGGAAAAAAACAGAATAGAAAAACAATACCAAAAAAAAAAAAAAAAAAAAAAAGTGTGGGGGGGGAGAAACACTGGGGGTGTAACTCAGTAACAGATGGCTTGCCTAGAATGTTTGAGGCCCTAGGATATTCCCAGCACAATCCAAAAAAAGAAAGAAAGAAAAGAAAAGAGAAAAGTCAATGAATCAAGTTGGAGTTCTGAAAATAAAGAGCCAGGAGCCGATCACCTACACCTACAATTCTAAGTACTCTGGAGGCTGAAATCAGGAGGATCATTATTTGAGGCCAGCCCAGGTAAAGTTAGTGAGACCCATCTCCAAAATAAACAGGAAAACGGACGGGCAGTGTGGCACATGGTAGAGCTGTTACTTTGCAAGTGTGAAGCCCTGAGTTCAAACTCCTATCCCACCAAAAAATAAAGAAACAAGAAAAAAAAAAATAAAAAGGATCATACAAAATTACTGTGAACAATTATATACAAACTAACTGGATAATCCAAATGAAATGGATAAATTCTTACAAATATACACTCTGTCAAGCATGAATGAGATGAATCATGAAGGATAGAAAAACCTAGGACAGACAGGCACCGGTGGCTCACACCTGTAGTTCTAGCTACTCAGGAGGCAGAGATCAGGAGGCAGCCAGTCCCCAGCAAACAGTTCACCATGTCAAAAATACCCAACACAAAACAGAACTGGCAGAACACCTCAAGTGGTAGAGTGCCTGCCTAGGTAGTATGAGGCCTGAGTTCAAACCCCAGTAAAACACACAACACACACACACACACATACACACACACACACACACACACACACACAAAATCCCTATAGCTTTTTTTGTTGTTGTTCCCTCAGAAAAAGAAAATCTTAATTACGGCATGGTGAACAATACCTGTAAACAAATCCCTATAGCTTTTTTTGTTGTTGTTCCCTCAGAAAAAGAAAATCTTAATTACGGCATGGTGAACAATACCTGTAATTGAAGCATTCAGGAGGCAGATACAGGAAGGTCACATAGTAAGACTGTGCCTCAAAACAAACAAAACCAAACCCTAAAATTCATATGCAATCTCAAAGAAATCCTCAATATATAAAATAATGTTTAGAAAAAAAGTTGGAGTTCTTACACTTCCTCACTTCAAAACAAATCACAAAACGATGGTGATGAAAACAAAACGATGGTGATGAAAACAGCATAAACACATAAAGACCAACAGAACACAAGAGAGACTTGAAATAAACCATCATGCATATGGCCAAATGAACCTCAACAAGGGTGCCCCAACCACACAATAGGGAAAGAACAATTTCTTGAACAAATGATGTTGGGAAAACTGCATAGCCACATCAAAGAGTGAAGGTTCTTTTCCCTTTACCATATACAAAAATTAACAAAACTAGGTGAAAGACATAAAATAAGACCTGAAGCTATTCGGAAACTTCAAGACACTGGGAAGGACAGTAATTTCTTGGCTATGCTGCCCAAAACACAGGTAACAAAAGCAAAATAAACAGGACTACATCAGACTGTAAAACTTCTGTGAAAAAAGCTAACAAGCAACTGAGTAAAAAGGTAACCTATGGAATGGGATTTATTTGCTATAAAACACATTTTTTTTTCAAAAGCACATGCATCTACTACATAAACAGGTCAATCTACCTCAGATTGTGATCAAAGGAAGCCTATTATCCAATAAAGTCTGCAACTTGTACACTAACAACTGAATTTAAATTTTAGGCTCAGAACCTCCAATTACCTGCAGTAACAGACTGAGTCCCAAAATGTCAGTAGATTTTAAAAGACAGGAAATGAGAACAGGAGCAAAAGTACTGTTGGGTCTTACCAAAAGGAGGAAGAAAAACAGCTTCTGATAAAATGTTTGAAAATACATATGGAAATCTGATCTTCAAATTTCATACTCTTCCACATAAAGCCCTATTTTCATTCAATGATAATCCTTCTCTCCCAGTTTATATTTCATGTTTCCATTAAAACAGACAAATTTCAGGAAAGCAACATTACTGGCACTTTCTCCAATCCCTTTTTACCAGTCACAAGTCCTTACCTGGTTCGGGGAGCTCAGCCTGTGGCATCAAACTGGGAATCCCTGGCTCTTTTTCCTTGTCTTCCATGCTGGTATTGGATTTATCACAAACATTTAACCGTGGCCCAACTGAATCCAAGTGGCTGGCATGATTTGGCTCTGTCAGCGAGTCCTCTAGTATGTTTGTTGAAGGAGTTCTATGGTCTGTGTAATCACCTCGCCCCTTCTGCACAGGATTACCAGGAAGCAAGACCTCAAAGGCACCCTCAGAGTTTTCTTTCTCCCTCAATCTGTTAGTGCGCTTTCCAGGTTTAGTGCGCCTTTGGTTTAATCGCTGCCACCGCTTTTTAGGCACCACTTGATTTGCACCATTGGGTTCATCATTCTCACTGTTTGTTTCAGAGACCAGCTCTGGGCCTTTTGTAGTCTCAGAAGGGGGTCCTTTTTCAGGAATTTTATCAGGGTCAGACTGTTCAACCTTGTCATCAAAATGTACATCAGATAAATGAGCATGTTCACTTGTTAAATGGCCCATTAATTGAAGAGGTTCTTCCTTACCAGAAGTTTCTGCCCCACCCTTTGATGGGCCATTCACTGAACCTCCACTCTCTTTGTCTCCCTGCAGTGTAGCCTCAAGAGTCACAGCTGGAAGCCGGTGAAATTTTCTTTTGCGCTCTGTCTTTAAGGCTTTCCGGTTTGCTGTGTTCTTTGCCATCTCGGCTGAAATTGCTTCCTGCAATTTGGATGATGGCTTTGTTCGGCCACAGGTGCGCCTAGTAACACAGTTTGATCGACTTTTGCCACAAGCAGAAAGGTCTCTTCTGTCAGGAGCTAAGCCAGGTAGGGAGGCAGACACCCCAGATAATGCAGAGTCACTTTCACTAGGGTTAGGCCGGACTAAGTCCTGAGTGTCATCTCCATTCTTTTCTGAATTGTGAATGGAATTTCCTGAAACCAGAACTTTAGATGCTACTACAGGACTACTGGTAGAACAGTCCCCACGAGCAGGACTGCGGTAAGAAACCAGGTTTTGAGCAGTCATCAACCTTTGCTCCTTGGTCTTACTATCATGCATATCTTTCAACATCATTAGCAATGTACTAAATTTGTAGTCTGGTTCAATAGGTATGTGATTCTGACTGGAAGCAGAAGAAAAAAGTAACGGTTTTGATGGCTTTGATGTTCCAGAGTCGCTGACATCCTCACTTAAGGACCTGTAAGAGAGTTCCTTCAGTTCTGACAGAACATGCTTCACCACTGCTGTTTCTATGTCACTTGAGTCCCTGGTTTTCTCATGCATGTTGTTCAGTAGTTTTAGCCCATCTACTTTCCCACTTTTAGAAATGCTAGGCAAAGGAGAGCCTTTGGCATCTAAAGAGCAACATTTCAAACTACGGTCTTCATTTGTAACTGGGGATTCTACCACAACTGGGTTTTCTTTATGTTTGCACTTTATATTTCGGAACTTAGGCTGTTTGGTTTTCAAATGTAATAGAGCTTGATTTGTAGCCCCACCCTTCACTAGTGAGTTCTCACTGGAAATGCTTGACGGTGTGTTGAATTTTGGAGCGAGACCATCATTTCTAAATTCTGACTGGGGTTTGTGGACAAGAGTAGATACTTTAAAATCAGAGAGATTAACCTGAGATGACTCAGTTCCTGGCTCTGCTGTCTTAGTACAATCCACTAAGTGGTCTGTATGTGAATTAGTAATGAGGGATTTCTGTTTTTCTTTTACCCTAGTGTTTGTAGGATACCTAGAATACTTTATTTTTTCATTTTTCTGCATGGATAACATATTCTCTGTTCTATCAAAAGCATCTGTAATTTCAAGGACACTATTATCAGACTCTGAGCTGTGTTCTAAGGGATCCAGATCACTGCTTCCATCATCTGAAGTGGTACAGATACTAATGGAATCACTTCGCTTTTCCTCATCACCAGCACCAATATAGCAGAGCTGCACTTTTGAACTGCAAACCAGACCAGTCTGGACTTTCTTTTTCTCCCCAGAACGTTTAGAGAGCAAGGCACCCTCAGACAACCCCAATAAAGAATCACAATTTGAAGTCTCAAATTCTTTCTTTGCAGAGGTTTTTCCACATGAAGAAAAAAGGAAACTTCCTGGGGCACTACTAGACCCGGTGAGGCTGTTTGCTATTCCTGGAAAGTTCTTTAGAAGCCTTGCTCTATCATATACATCCCCAGAGATGAAGTTTAGAGCAAGGTTCTCTGTAATCTTTCCTCTCCGTTCTTCCTTATTAATGTGCTTCAAATTGCATGAGCCTTTTTCCAAACTAGTCCTTTTTGGGAGTATCAGAGGTTCTTTTCTGCTCGAGACTTAGCACAAGGCTTTTCTTTCTCATCTGCAGAATGTTCAGATCAAACCAGGAGACTTCAAGCACCATTAAGCAACAACTCATGCTTCTGATTTGGATCGTTTGATAAACCTCAAATGGCATATCTTCTTCACTTCCACTTAAGTGAACTGTGTGACACCACTTTCGTTCTTGACCCTTTAGGAACATCATACTGTTCAGCAAGACCAACACTGGCTTCCCATTTGCTCAAAATTTTCTGAGGAACCTTAATTTAAAGGAGAAAGAGAATATCATTCATCAGAACAATGCAAGGGAAGAGGGAAATAATGAGTATCACCTTTAGAATCAGGAACTTTTCCAAAGCTTGTACTTATTCAAAGCCCTTATGGGACTGGCCAGCACCTGAGCTTACCTATTAGGGATTCTCTAACTACCAGGAGTATGACCTATCATTACTGGAAGGATTAGTCTCATAAACCCTCTGCCATCCCTGCATTTATAGGTAAAAAAGACTAGATATAACTTAGACTGAAATTAGTAACATTACAATTTAAAATCAAGGAATACTCAGACCCTTTCTACTTGCTCCTCTATACCTTAAAATAGGATTTATATATATGGGGGGGGGCGGGGGGAGAGGGAGGATTTGACCTCAGGGCCTCACACTTGCTAGGCAGGCTCTACCACTTGAGCCACTCCACCAGCCCAGCAAAAGGTTTAAATAAGATAAATAAGGAAAAATAAAACAGGAGGAATGAACAGGACAGATCTATCCCTAGTGTACCTAAAATTTGAAGCTAGCTTGGGTACCTAGCTAAGCAAGGCTTTTCTGTAAGTTACATACAACCTGGATCATAACCAAGTTATCATAACCAAGTGATCAACAAGCCGTAATTATGTAGCCCAGAGATACAAAGACACCTGGGGGTAAAGTTGTGGCAAGTGATAGAGCACTTGCCTAGCAAGCGTAAGACCCTGAGTTCAAACTCCAGTATCACCAAAAATCGACTCACACTTGGTGTAACAAAATGCACGTGATCATTTTCTAAATTCCTCATAGCATGAGGATACTTGAGGTGCTCTGAAATGAAATACACCTACTCTTCCAAAATCCTTCCTTGGCTCTGTTATGATCAGTATTAATTAATTAGTTAGTTAACTAATTAACTACTATTCACAAATACTTTAATACTTGTGAAGAGAATATTCTGTAGAGCATATAAAACTTCAGGTCATGAGATAGGGTAGCCTCCTCTTATATGGCACAAAACTTACCATCTAGTCTCTTTTACATACAAGCACACAACCACCAGTGCTCATGTCTGCAACCAGAGTAAATCAGTTTTCCAAAACAGGAAAGCCCTAGTGAACTCGGCTAAAAGCTTAACACAAAAACTCACACTAGTGCTGGAGGTGTGGCTCAATTGGTAGAGCACCTGTTTTTTAAGCTCAAAGTCCTGAGTTCAAACCTCAGCTCCACCAAAAAAACAAACAAATAAACAAAAAAAACCTCTGGCACCCCCCTCACTGACCAAACAAAATATAATCAAAATATAATATTAGAAATGATAAGCCAGACACTCGTAGCTCACGTCTCTAATCCTAGCTACTCAGGGAGGCAGAAATCAGGAAGACTGAGGTTCAAGGCGGCCCAGGCCTATCTCAAAAAACCTAACACAAAAAAGGGCTGGAGGAGTGGCTCAAGATGCAGGCCCTGAGTTCAAACTCCAGTATTGCAACAACAACAAAAAAAGGTGCAATTAAACTCCTTCATCCTAACAGTGGAATAGAATGCATTAATTATTTAGTTTTTAGAACCTCATTTCTAATTCTCAGAAGTTTTACAAGGTACATGTCATTATACTAGTTTTAGAGGTAAAAACACCAAGTCTCAAAGAACTTTGGTACTCACCTACTAACTCTAAATTATTCTAAATTATGATTTTTTTTAAAGTAATCTAAAAAGTTATATACAGGTATAATAGGTATGAAGGAATGATTTCCTCTTATAGAACTGGGCAAGGTGATGAAGACCTATATGCCCAGCCACTCAGGAGGCTGACAAAGAAGAATCATTGGATCCCAGAAGCTCAAGGTAAGCCAGGAAAAAATTAACAAGATCCTAGTCTTGACAACAACAAACACAAAAAAACCTAATTGACTATAAAAAGAATATCTGTACACTTAAAATGGTTAAGATACTCAATTTTATGATATAAGTGTTAAAACATAAAAAATTTAAGAGGAGAGGAGTAAAAGCCAGATATGGTAGTACATGACTATAATCCCACTTAAAAGGTTGAGGCAGGCCAGGCGCCAGTGATTCACATCTTTAAGCCTATCTACTTGAAAGGCTGAAATCAGCAGGGTCACAGTTCGAGGCCAACCTAGGCAAACAGTTCACAAAACTCCATTTCCAAAATAACCACAGCAAAATGGACCGGAGGTGTGGCACAGTGGCAAGACTACTGTTTTGAAAGCATAAAGCCCTGACGTTCAACTCCAGACCCACCAAAAAAAAAAAAAAAAGACCTGAGGCAGGATCACAACTCCAGGTCAGGATGGACATGCAGTGATTCACATCTTTAAGCCTATCTACTTGAAAGGCTGAAATCAGCAGGGTCACAGTTCGAGGCCAACCTAGGCAAACAGTTCACAAAACTCCATTTCCAAAATAACCACAGCAAAATGGACCGGAGGTGTGGCACATGTGGCAGACTACCTGTTTTGAAAGCATAAAGCCCTGAGTTCAAACTCCAGACCCACCAAAAAAAAAAAAAAAAAAGACCTGAGGCAGGATCACAAGCTCCAGGTCAGGATGGACAATGCAGCAAAATGCTATCAAAAGAAAAGAAAGAAGGGAAGGGAGAGAAGGGAGAAAAGAGAAGCGAAAATTTTTCTCACTCTACTTTAACACAAAACACCAATCAAAAGAATTTCTGCAAACTTTAACAACGACGAAACATAGAAAATAAAACTGGTTAAAAAAAAAAACAAAAAAAACTTTATTGCAGCCACATGTTTTGACTCAGTCCTGTAATACTAGCACTCAGGCAGTTTAGGTAGGAAGATCCTGAGTTTGAGGTCAGCCTAGGAGACTCTATATCATAAAATAAAAACAATAAAAAAGGTCTCGCAATTTTCATTTTTTTTAAGAACTATAATTTAGATGGTGAGAAGTAGAGTACTGCACATTTCATTTTAATGGTAGTATTCCTCTTGCATAAGAGATAACAAAAAAAGATTAATCATGCCATATTATATTGCCATTTCTCTAAGCGGTAAGGCACAGGTAGCCTTACCTGTGGGATAGCTCACAACTGTAACCCCAGCTACTCCAGAGGCAGAGTAATCATATTCTAGTGTTAGCCCAGATAAAAGAACATAGCTCTATCTATAAAACAAACTAAAAGTACTAGAGGCATGGCTTCAGTGCTAGAGGGTTTGCCTCGAAATGGTGAGTCCAAACCTCAAAAAAAAAAAACCACAAGCCTGAGTTTTTAAGTTTTTGAAAGTTAGCCCCAAATAACTCCTACCAAAAATCCCTGCTTCCCAGGTCTTTCTCCACATACCCTAATAACAAAAGAAATAACTTATATTTCAAAACTATAACACTACTTCTCCTCCCTGATGCCCCACAAGTAGGAATTTTAAAGAGACCCTCTTTTGATTTTTACCTTATGCCTATATCCTTTTTCTTTCTGCTTCCCTCTTTTCCTAAGGACAGGGAGTTCTTCAAATTGATGCCTGCCTTCAAACATGACGATTGCTTTTCCAGCCACCCAGGCTCTTTCAGAAGGGTCTCCAAAAGCCTCCACGTAGTACTCACGATAGGGCCTCCGATTGGCAACTAGATAATGATAAAAACCAGTGTCATTATGTCAAAAAGATGACTGCTCATCACCTAGATAACAACCTCATCCCTGTTACCAAAAAAGTCTCTGATTATAATCAGTTAACCCAATGAAGTACTCACAGAACTAGACAATCTGAACTCATGTATATAAGGAAATGTTTAAATATTCAATTTACATGGCAAGATAGAGTTTTTGAAAGAAATCAGCAGTTTAGTCTAGGGATGTGAATACATATACATATTCAAAACCAGTTATAGGTAGATTAGCTAGTCACAGAGCAAAGACAGCAGTCAACAAAGTTGTTTTCATCATCTACTTTATGAGGTGCTATAGCCATATTGTCAGACTACCGACAGACATAAAATAACTTGCAGCAACACAAATACAATTATCCAAAGGAACAAATAACAAAAAAACCTCTAACATGGTAGCCATTCACCGTGGTACATGGCAAGATAGAGTTTTTGAAAGAAATCAGCAGTTTAGTCTAGGGATGTGAATACATATACATATTCAAAACCAGTTATAGGTAGATTAGCTAGTCACAGAGCAAAGACAGCAGTCAACAAAGTTGTTTTCATCATCTACTTTATGAGGTGCTATAGCCATATTGTCAGACTACCGACAGACATAAAATAACTTGCAGCAACACAAATACAATTATCCAAAGGAACAAATAACAAAAAAACCTCTAACATGGTAGCCATTCACCGTGGTACATGCCTATAATCCAAGCACTGAGAAGGCTATGGTAGGAGACTGAGTTAGAGGTCAGTCCGTGCTACAAGAGAAGACCGTGTCTCAAAAGAATCACTTCAACTTGTATCTAATTCCCTTACTACAAACCACTTCCTGTTTCAAGACTCAAGAATCCAAACAAGCCTTTATCAAAAAAAAAAAAAAAAAAGGAAATGTCTTCTTTCAGAATGCCCGAACAAAAAGAAAGGAGTGATATTTAAAACCTAAACTAGTCGGGCGCAGTGGTTCACACCTGTAATCCTAGCTACTCAGGAGGCAGAGATCAGGAGGATCATGGTTTGAAGCCAGCCCGGGCAAACAGTTTGAGAGACCCTATCTGGAAAAAAAACACGTCACAAAAAAGGGCTGGTGGAGTGGCTCAAGGTATAGGCACCAAGTTCAAGTCCCAGTACCACAAAAATAAATACATGAATAAATAAAATCTAAACTAATGAACAAGTAGAAACACTTGTGACTATTTCCAAAACTTCTACATGTGTAGTAACTCATTGGAAGAGCAGAGAAACTGTAAAGGAAATTTCAACAGCAGCATCTCTTATAAATATGCTAAATTTCAAAAGTGTACTACTAGGGCTGGCGGATGGCTCAAATGGTAGAGCACATGCCTAGCAAGTATGAGGGTGAGTTCAAACCCCAGTACCACCAAAAAAGTGTACAAAAGGTTGTTTTTCTTTTTTTGGCAATATGGGGGTTTGATCTTAGGGCTCTGTGCTTGTTAGACAGGTGCTCTACTGCTTGGGCCACCCAAAATGATTATTTTTCTAGATAATATAGCTTAACAATGAAATTAAGAACTGGTTAAATTTTGGTTTCAGGGAGTTTTTTTGGTTCTAAAGTTTGTACATAGGGCCTGGTGCTTGCTAGGCAGGAATTCTACCACTTGAGCCACACCTCCAGCCCACCTTTTAGTTTAAAAAAGAAAGAAAAAAACAAGGAAGGAAAGGAAGGAGAAAGGAAAGCTTCTTAATTCACACCTAAGTGAATTAAATGTTTCAAGAGAAACCACCTATAAAGAGGGATTTAACTTACAAAATACACGTGTACCTATATGGAAATGATTCAAGTCAATGATTCCTGCAAAGATGGTTAAGAAAGACAAGTGACAGCTATTTAAAAAAAAAAATATCAAGGGTGGGGCTTTTAAAACAGTAAGTGAACTCAAACATTAATGCCCTTCAATCCTATAAAGGGCTGCATTAATTCTTCGATTTGATGAACCAAGTTAAGAATCTTTTGGGGGACATGGCTCAAGATAAAGAGCACTTGCTCATCAAGGAGCTGGGTGTACTCCCCCATATAAAACAAAAATCTTTTTTAAACTATGATGAAACAATGCTTCCACAGAAATCTTTAAAGGAAAAGAATGCAACCTGAATTTTCAGGTTTAGTTTACTCACTTCTGAAATCCACCTTTAAAAAAAAAAACAGTAAAAGCAGTTTAGAAAATAACAAAAACAAAGGACAAAGTACAGGAAAAGAAACACTAAAAACTAAGGAAAGTTAAAAGACACAATGATACAATTTACACAAAAGAGTTGAAAGAAAAACTGAGAAGCCAACTTGTCTTACCCCAAAATTGCTTTACATCAGGTACTCTAGAAGCATAGAAAAGTCTAAAACCAAGATAGGTTGAAAGTCTGAAGTAAAACCATTTCCAGGTAAAAGGAAAACTGAATAAACACATCTAAATTCAGTTCTTTTCCCACTTGACACTAAAGCTACATGGAAAAGATTTAAAATCCTACAGCTGGGCATCTGTGGCTCACACCTGTAATTCTAGTTACTCAGGAGGCAGAGATCAGGAGGATTGCAGTTCAAAGCCAGCCCAGCAAATCCAAATCTTTCTCAAAAGTCTTATCGCAAAAATAACACAAGCACACACACACAAAAAGGGGACTGTTGTAGTGGCACAAGTGATAAACAGGCTGCCTAGTAAGTGCAAAGTCCTGAGTTCAAACTCCACTACCTGTCCCCCCACAAAATATTTAATATTTTAAAAACACACGGTCATAAGGGAGGGAGAAAAGAGGAAAACAGCTAAATGAAAATTAAGTAGCTATGTTGAGATGCTACAAAATTTTCAAAACTGGAAAAGAGATGGAAAGTTTTTGTTGTTGACATTGTTTTTTTTTTATTTTTTTCTTTTTGGACAGGGTCTCACTATGCATCCCAAGCTGGCCTTAAATTCAGTCATCCTGCCTTTGCCTCTGGCATGCTGAGACTACAAAAGCACATCATACCATACATGTTTACAGGATGGAAAACTATTATGACAATGAATTTAATGGTTCAAGAATGCCAAATCTTAAGTCATCAGTGGGCAAAACCAAAAAACAACCATATATATACCATGGCACCCTCAAAAGGTCCAGATGATGGAAACACCTTTTGAGTTTGGGATGATAAAAACACAGATTGGTTGAAAACTGTCAAACAACTTGGCTATCTAAATTTCTTCTGTGGAGCTGGTAGAGTGGCTCAAGTGACAGAGTACCTGCCTAACAAGCCAAGCAAGCGTGAGGCACTGAGTTCAAGCCCAAGTACCACAATAAAAAAAAAAAGGCGAGGGTGGAGGGGGCTCAGATAGGGGAAAGAGTAAAAGAAGAAAGGAAACAAAAAAGGGGGTAAAACTGGGAGTACAGTGGCAGTCAACACTCCTAGCATGTACAATGTACAACATCCTGGATTTGATCGTTAGCACCACCATAACAGAAGAAAAAGATGTTATAAAAATTTGTGCTTTCTAAAACCATTTGTAATGTCTGATATTACCAATGTAACATATATACTAATGTAATATATACAATGAATATAAGATAATCACATTATGAACTTTTTGTGCCAGTTATCAATTAACAATTGACACAAAGTAGTAACTGCTCAATCTAAGTGAATTATAGTTATTTTTTCTACTAACTGCAACTTTTCTGTAGGCTTGAAACTTTAAAAAGTTGGAGGAAAGAAATTATACTGCTAGGAATGAATCAAACATTAATTATTATGGCCATATTTTCAATGTGATAGGTAAGATCTCATTGAAAGTAATCATCTAACATTTCACAGGGGCAGTGGCAAAACTGGAGATGGGGGAGGGGGGCCGGGTGGTGGTCAAAGAAAAATGCAAATAGAGCAATGAAACGTAATGAAGGAGAGAGAGAGGATGAGGGAAAATGATGCAAGGGAATGAATCTAATTGAGATGCACTGTAAGTACATATGTAAATGTCACAATGAATCCTCCCTATGCAACCAAATTATGTAATTAAAAAAAAAAAAAAAAAGAAAAAATGGAGCCTGACATAGTGACACACACTGTACATCTGTAATCCCAGCACTCAGGAGATGGAGGCAGGATAATATGGAGTTCAAGGCCAACCTGAAGGACAGTAACACCCTGTCTCAAAAAAAGAAAAAAAGGAAAAATATCATGAAGTAACTTGATTTAAAGTTAAACAGAGGCTGATGGAGTGGCGCAAATGGTAAAGTGCCTGCCTAGCAAACCTGAGACCCTGAGTTCAAATCCCAGGACAACCAAAAAAAAAAATACTCTGGGCCCCATATAATTCTCTAAGCTGTAGCGTCTTCCCTTCTCTGTTTCCATTTCCTCAAACCTGTTTAATCCAGTTTCTGCCACAATCAAACCATAAAATCCTGGGAACTAATGGTCACTACAACACCTTGTAACTAATGGAAATCTTATCTGATCTCTAGTCAATACTTAAATAAAACTGACCACATCTTCCTTCTTAATAAAATACTCTAGTATTCTGAAAAGGTACCACATTCTCCCAGTTCCATCTCTGGGTTTTTTCAACTCCTTTCCATGCTAATCTCGTCCATGTAGATCTCAAATGCTGTCTGTCTCAAAGCTACATCTTTTTCTTGGTGCATTATTTGTTCCGAGACAATCTCAACCAAGCCTTGCCATGACTCCAACTATCAGGAATAAGCAGGTGGCATGTCTGAGTTATAGACCTTGCAGTGTGTGGCAAGTAAATGGCAATAATAACCTTACAAAACTAAATATATGGGGTCAACCCTGACATACAGAAACTTGAACACCAAAATAAAAAAATAAATACAACATTGAGATTTAGAAACCTTAGAACTTCATTCTCCCTCATGCTTCATTATACAATCTATCCTAATCCAATTGTCTTCTAAAATAGATCTTTATTTGCTACTCACAACGTGAATTTTACCATAACTACTGCAATAACTGATTCCTTAACTGTCCCCTCTTATTTGTTAAGAACCCCATCTGATCCATCTTCCACCTTGAAACCAGAGTGAACACTTTCTTTTTTCCTTTCTGTTGTTGTTTTGACTCAGGGTCTTACTATGTAGCCCAACTGGCCTTGAATTCAGATCTCCTGAGTGCTGGGAATGTAGAAGTAAGCCACCTCACTTAGCTTGAGAGAGAATTTTTAAAAAGTGCAGATCAGCACCACGAGCTAGTGGATCACGCCTGTAATCTTTGCTACTTAGGAGGCAGAGTTCAGGAGAATTGAGATTCAAAGACATCCCAGGCAAATAGTTCCACGAGACCCTATCTTGGAAAAACCCTTCACAAAAATAGGGCTGGTGGAGTGGCTCAAAGCGAAGGCCCTGAGTTCAAGTCCCAGTACCGCAAAAAAATATAAATAAATAAAATTAAAAAGTGCAGATCACACCAGATACAGTGGCTCAAGCCTATAATCCAAATTACTTGGGAGGCAGAGATCATGAGGATCGAGGTTCAAAGCCAACTGGGCAAAAAGAGTTTTTATTGAAAAACACAGTGTGCCTGTCATCCCAGCTACTGCGGGAAGTGTAAATAGGAGGATTGCAGTCGAGTTCAGCCCAGGGGAAAAAGCAAGACCCTATGTTCAAAATATAACCTGAGCAAAAGGGCTGGGTTCAGATTGTAGCACACCTACCTAGCAAGCATGAACCTCTGAATTCCAACCACCGTGCTGCCAAAAAAAAAAAAAACAAAAACCCAGCACTGAGTAGATCTTATCAATCCCTAGCCCTTGGAATGGTAAGTATCAGATTCTTCTTAGAATACAAAATTTTCAAGAACTCTACAGCCACTGCATGATTTGCATGATTTGGTCCTAGGCTCACACCCTCCTATTACTCTGTGGGCTGCAAATTCCTCAGGACCAAACCACAATTCCTAGATTCACCTTCTCTTTTCCCAAGTTAATGCTAATGATGTATCCTATCAAAAGTTATCAAAGATAACTTTACTATGCTTGCCCAACATGTGCAAGGAAAGCCCCAAGTTCAAAGCCCAACACCACCAAAACAATAAACAAAGTAACTGTCAAACAAACAACAAAACAACAAACAAGCAAAATTGTCCTTGAACACTTTGACAAAGGTTAGGTGCCCGGCTCTATCACTAATTACAAACCAAAATTTTTCATTGGAAACACTTTTCAGGCAAGTAATTATCTATTTGATTATTAGCTGGGGCCTTGTCTCTTTTATTGAGCTCTTAATTTCCCATGAGGGCAAGCATATCTATACCATATATATAGTATATAGTATCTGACAAATAAACAGCATGGACCCAACTAGTAAGCACAAAGAACAATAAAATGAGTAAGAAACCAAAGTCCTATAAGGACAGACAGAAGAAGAGCAAGACTGAAGTAATTTTCTATTAGTAAAATTTAAATGTCTGAACAGACCATAAAGGATAAGGGATGAGTTTTCTATTTGTTTGTTCTCACTTGGGGGATGGAACCTAGATCCTCCAACATGCTAGGCAAGAGTTCTGTTGCTGAGCTACATCTACATCTCCTGAATCAGTTTTTTTAAAACAGTGACCTATTTAAAGGTCTCTGGGGACCTCAATATTTAATATTCACAATGAAAGGGCTAAGATTTAGCTTGGTGTTGAAGTGCATGCTTAGCATGCATGAGGCCTTGAGTTCAATCCCCACATACTCCCAAAATTTTTCAAACTATAAAATCAAATCCAGAACTCTCACTTTGGAGAAACTTTCCTGCAGATAACACATGTATACATGAAATACACACAGTACTACAGTACAAACAACAGCGTTTGTTTTCATACATACATAGCCTTTGTTTTTTATTTGTTTTGGTTTTTTTGAGATAAGATCTTGCTAAGTAGCCCAGGCTGGTCTCAAATTTGCAATTCTCCTGCCTCTGCCTCTCAAGTGCTGGGATTACAGCCAGATCTCACAATACCAGGCTCATATATATCTTTTACAAGATTTGGTGTAAAAACAACTTAAGACATTCATCAGAGGAGAATAGTTATTTAAAGACCAGCATATTCAAAAAGCTGCAAACTATGCAGCTGTAAAAATGAAAAAGCTTAAAATGAGCTAATACGGAAAACATCTTCAAGAATTGAGAAAACCTACTTCTTTGTTGGGGGAGGCGGTTCTTGGGTTTGAACTCAGGGTCTCAGGCTTGCCAGTCAGTCACTCTACCACTTAAGCCACTCCGCCAGCCTTTTTTTTGTATGTGTATTGGGTATTTGAGATAGTGTCTCAAAAACTATTCCTTCAGGCTGGCCTGATCTCTGTCCCCTGAGTAGCTAGGATTACAGGAATTGAGTAGCATAATATGCTACTTTTGCTAAAATGAAAAAGGAGCCAGGCATAGTGTCATAAACTTGCAATCTGAGCACTCAAAAAGTGGAGGCAAGAGGATCAGAGGCCAGCCTGGGCTACATAAGAGACTTCATGTCTTAAAAAAAATATATAGGGCTGGGATGTAGCTCGGTGGTACAGCGCTTCCCTAGCATGAGCGAGGCGGCCCTGGGTTTAATCCCAGCACCAAAAAAAAGAAAAAAAAAAAAAAAAGACACAATAAATAAATAAAAAATAATGTGGGGGAGGCTAAAGATACATTGTCTGGATTTACATTAAGAAACCATGGAACAGAAGAAATTTCTTTTAAAAGAAAACGGGCAAAGATACATTAATAAAAAATTGATTACCCATTGAAAGGAAGGGCAGGTCACAGCAAAGGAGGGAGTATTTTTTGAATGTTGTTAATATAACAGTTATTCAACACTTATATATTTATTGAGGGATGGAGGCATGGCTCAAGTGGTAGAGTACCTAATTCATAAGCATGAGCCCTGAGTTCAAACCCCAGGAGTGCCAAAAAATAAGTAAAATAAAAAATACATATATTGAAATCACAATAAAATTACAAATTATGTTAACAGAAAAAAGTGCTCAAGATCAATTTTCAGCCAGGTCATGGTGACTGACAACTATCAAACCAGCTACTAGGAAAGCAGACATAAGAAAAAAAACAGGAATCCAGGCCAGCCTTGGTAAAATATTAGCCAGACACCACTTCAATCACTAAGCCAGGCATGGTGGCTTAAGCCTGTAAACTCAGCTATGGAGGAAGTTGTAGGTAGGAAGCTATTCTTGGAAAAAACACAACCACCTTCTTGAAAAATAACTAATGCAAAAAAATGGCTGGGGGATGTGGCTCAAGCGGTACAGTCCAGCCTAGCAATCAAAAGACCCTGAGTTCAACCCCCCAGTACTACCCAAAAAAAAAAAAAGATGAATTTTCAGCCTACATCTTACACCAATTTAAAGATAACATAATTAACACATTAACATACAACAAATAAACTACAATAATTAAAAGAAATACTCCAAGTAAAAAATTTTAAATTTAAAATAACATAAGCATTATTTATAGGTGCTATGACTTTTAAATTATCAAACATGACAAAAACCTGACAACTGAAGTAGAAACATAAATTCATTCAAATTGATTCCGGACAATGTAAACTTAAATATCTAACACTTTCCTAATGTCTAGATAGAAAAACTGAGAATTTCTGTTTTTATTTTTTTTGAGACAGAATCTAGCCTGCCTTTCTTCAAAGTAACAATCTACTTGCCTCAGTCTCCCAAGAGCTGGGATTATAAACAAGTTTCACCAGGCCCACTTAGAGAAGCTCATGCCTATAATCCTAGCTACTCAGAAGGCGAAGGTCAGGAGGATCAATGTTTGAAGCCATCCCTGGTTAAATACTCCTCCAGATTCTATCTTGAAAATATCCAACACAACACAGGGTTAGTGGAATGGCTCAAGTGGTAGAGAGCCTGCCTAGCAAGTGTGAGACCTGAGTTCAAATCGCCAATTCACACCCAACCCCAAACCTAGCCAACCACCAGGCTCAGTACTGCAATCCTAGCTACTCGGGAGGCAGAAAAATTTAGGAGAATCACAGTTGAGGCCAGCCTGGGCAAAAGCAAGAACATTGGCTTAAGTGGTAGAGCTCCTGCTTTGCAAGCATAAAGCCCTGAGTTCAAATGTCAATTCCCCTCCCTACCCCACCCCCAAAAAAAGGCAAGACCCCATCTCAACACAAAAAGGAGCTGGCTGAGTGGTTCAAGTGGTAGAAGGCCTGCCTAGCAAGTGTGAGGCACTGAGATCAAACCCCAGTACCAGAAAATAAAATCTGAAAAGATAAAATATGTTAACAATTAATTTATAAATTGTTCAATGTATAAGATGGATTATTGCTAAAGGTAACAAAAACTGTGATGCACTAGAAGTAACTGCAAGTTTTTAATTTCATACTATATTATATCATATGTAATCAACTGCAAGTTATTACCTTTCATTTTTGAGTGGGTATTAACCAATGGATCAGAACAAATCCTGCAAGGCCACCATGGGCGCCTCTTGAATTTTGCCCAAATGAGATCTCCAACTTCGTACTTCAGTGGTGTAGACTTTTTCTTGGGTTGACACTTTAGACAGACAAAAACATAGGGGATCAATAAGAATCAAAGACCTTTTGAAACAGTATTTTATCATCTTCCTGTTAGCCTTCTGAAAGGCAATGCCAAAAATATTTAAAATGAAAACACCCAGCCAGACATCAATCAAAAAATAAGAACAAAACTACTTAGCATTACTTGTTCATTACAGTCTTTTATATAGTAATTCTCAATATATATATGTATATATATATATATATATATTCATTTTACATAACTAATCTATCTACCATCTTAAAAAATAATTTAAGGGCTAGCAGAGTATTTCAAGTAGTAGAGAGCCAGCCTAGCAAGCATGAAGACTGGAGTTCGAACCCTAGTCCTGTCCAAAAAAAAAAAAAAAAATTTTAGATATCTTCAATGAAAGAAACACTGGAATACTAAAATCATACTAAGTGCCCGCCATTATTTCCTCCTTAAATGGTATCCTAATAAATCTTTGTTTTCTCCTTAAAGAAAAAAATCATACTAAGAAAACAGTATCTCTGCTCCAGTCCTCAGATCACAACAAAGGGGAGGTAAGAAAGTTTACAAAAAACAATTGGGGTGTGGGGGTAGTTGAGACAGAATCTCCATATATAGTCATGCTAGCCATAAACTTGCAATCCCCCTGCCTCAGTCTTGCTAACGCTGAGATTACAAATATAAGTCACCATGCCCAGATCTAAACTAATTTTTAACAATGTTAATAGATTAGGATATATAGGTGACACTCCACATCATTCTAAAACAAACATATATCTATTATTTAATTAACAGTAATGGAACTAATGAAAAATTTCTAAAAGCTACATTCAGACTAGACTCTCATTATGTCAATGCAACAGATTTTGGTTTTTGCCCAGGACATGCAAGAGAAGATATTCACAACACTGCACCACACAACTGCAAGAGACACCATTCAAATATAATTCACTATGAATGAAGTTCTTTGGAATTAGCCAATGCAGACACCCTGACTGCATCTTTTCTGCAAAAATAATATGCCTAACTAATCTATGCTATAACTGCCTCCATCCCAGCTCTACACTCATGTCCATGCCTTAACCACCCAACAAAATGAACAAATCTGCCTTAAAAGGTAGGCAGTTTTGCATTTAATAGATCTGCACTTTCCATCTGGTATACTACAAAGGAGTATGCTTAGATATTTCTGGGTGGCCAGAAATATTTAGGATACTTTGGACTGAGGGCAACCTCCTCCATTCACTCCAAGGATACAATGTCCTAAAAGAGTTTGGTGAGCAGGCGCATGGGACTGATCCCTGGGAAGCTGAGATTGGGAGGATTTGAGGCCAGAGAGGGCAAATAGTTCAACAGACCCCCATCTCCGAAACAAACATAGCAAAATAGACTGGCAGTGTGACTCAAGAGGCAGACCACCTGCTTAGCATCTACTTAACAAGTTCAAATCCCTAAGTTCAAATACCTGCAATCCTAGCTACTCAGGAGGCAGAGATCAGGAGGATTTTGGTTCAAAGCCAGCCTGGGCAAATAGTTCCAAGAGACCCTATCTCGAAAAACCATTCACAAAAATAGGGCTGGTGGAGTGGTTCAAGGTGAAGGCGATGAGTTCAAGCCCCAGTACAGCAAAAAACAAACAACCAAAAAAAAACCCTTGGTCCATTTTTGGCTAACATCAGTAGACAAAGGGTGTGACTGCAGACTCTGAAACCTAAAAACCAAGACTGAATAGGAAAACACATCTTTTATGTGCCTATATTGAAAACTACTATCTGAGTAAGTTCCTAAAAATTTCTGATATTCTTTGATTCACTCCTATTCAACATAGTACTGGAATTCCTAGCCAGAGCAATTAGGCAAGAAGAAGGAATAAAAGGAATACAAATAGGTAAAGAAACTGTCAAAATATCCCTATTTGCAGACGACATGATCCTATACCTTAAAGACCCAAAAAACTCTACTCAGAAGCTTCTAGACATCATCAATAGCTATAGCAAGGTAGCAGGATATAAAATCAATATAGAAAAATCATTAGCATTTCTATACACTAACAATGAGCAAACTGAAAAAGAATGTATGAAAACAATTCCATTTACAATAGCCTCAAAAAAAATCAAATACCTAGGTGTAAACCTAACAAAAGATGTGAAAGACCTCTACAAGGAAAACTATACACTTCTGAAGAAAGAGATTGAGGAAGACTATAGAAAGTGGAGAGATCTCCCATGCTCATGGATTGGTAGAATCAACATAGTAAAAATGTCGATACTCCCCAAAGTAATCTACATGTTTAATGCAATTCCCATCAAAATTCCAATGACATTCATTAAAGAGATTGAAAAATCTACTGTGAAATTTATATGGAAACACAAGAGGCCACGAATAGCCAAGGCAATACTCAGTCAAAAGAACAATGCAGGAGGTATCACAATACCTGACTTCAAACTATATTACAAAGCAATAACAATAAAAACAGCATGGTACTGGCACAAAAACAGACATGAAGACCAGTGGAACAGAATAGAGGATCCAGATATGAAGCCACACAACTATAGCAACTTATCTTTGACAAAGGAGCTAAAAATATACGATGGAGAAATAGCAGCCTCTTCAACAAAAACTGCTGGGAAAACTGGTTAGCAGTCTGCAAAAAACTGAAACTAGATCCATGTATATCACCCTATACCAAGATTAACTCAAAATGGATCAAGGATCTTAATATCAGACCCCAAACTCTTAAGTTGATACAAGAAAGAGTAGGAAATACTCTGGAGTTAGTAGGTATAGGTAAGAACTTTCTCAATGAAACCCCAGCAGCACAGCAACTAAGAGATAGCATAGATAAATGGGACCTCATAAAACTAAAAGCTTCTGTTCATCAAAAGAAATGGTCTCTAAACTGAAGAGAACACCCACAGAGTGGGAGAAAATATTTGCCAATATACATCAGACAAAGGACTGATAACCAGAATATACAGGGAACTTAAAAAACTAAATTCTCCCAAAACTAATGAACCAATAAAGAAATGGGCATGTGAACTAAACAGAACTTTCTCAAAAGAAAAATTCAAATGGCCAAAACACATGAAAAAATGCTCACCATCTCTAGCAATAAAGGAAATGCAAATTAAAACCACGCTAAGATTCCACCTCACCCCTGTTAGAATAGCCATCATCAGCAACACCACCAACAACAGGTGTTGGCGAGGATGCGGGGAAAAAGGAACCCTCTTACACTGTTGGTGGGAATGTAACTAGTACAACCACTCTGGAAAAAAATTTGGAGGCTACTTAAAAAGCTGGACATCGATCTACCATTTGATCCAGCAATACCACTCTTGGGGATATACCCAAAAGACTGTTACTCCAGAGGCACCTGCACATCCCATGTTTATTGCGGCACTATTCACAATAGCCAAGTTATGGAAACAGCCAAGATGCCCCAGCACTGACGAATGGATTAAGAAAATGTGGTATCTATACACAATGGAATTTTATGCAGCCATGAAGAAGAACGAAATGTTATCATTCGCTGGTAAATGGATGGAATTGGAGAACATCATTCTGAGTGAGGTTAGCCTGGCCCAAAAGACCAAAAATCGTATGTTCTCCCTCATATGTGGACATTAGATCAAGGGCAAACACAACAAGGGGATTGGACTATGAGCACATGATAAAAGCGACACACAAGGGAGGGGTGAGGATAGGTAAGACACCTAAAAAACTAGCTAGCATTTGTTGCCCTTAATGCAGAGAAACTAAAGCAGATACCTTAAAGCAACTGAGGCCAATAGGAAAAGGGGACCAGGAACTAGAGAAAAGGTTAGATCAAAAAGAATTAACCTAGAAGGTAACACACACGCACAGGAAATCAATGTGAGTCAACTCCCTGTATAGCTATCCTTATCTCAACCAGCAAAAACCCTTGTTCCTTCCTATTATTGCTGATACTCTCTCTACAACAAAATTAGAGATAAGGGCAAAATAGTTTCTGCTGGGTATTGAGGGGGGAGGGAGGGGGGGAGTGGGTGGTAAGGGAGGGGGTGGGGCAGGGGGGAGAAATGAACCAAGCCTTGTATGCACATATGAATAATAAAAGAAAAATAAAAATAAATAAATAAATAAATAATTTCTCAGTCTTTGTTAAATATGGGACTTCCTTATTTATTCCAGCATATTCACTTGATTCGTTATGTGTAAAGCACAATGTTCCTCCTCATACTCTTTAAGTTGTATTATTACACGTATTTATTATATACCTAATGGTACCATAAGAATTTTTTAAGTAGCAGAGCCAAGATTCAAATTTAGACATTGCCAACTCCAGAGCACAAATTCCTTTTTTTTCCCTCCTCAAAGCAGAGGTGACCCTAGCCTGCCTGAAAAGCCACAGTCACTATCCCCAGAACAGGACAATTTCTAGACTCAGGTCCACCCTCTGTGGAGACCCACGATTATCCTTCTCGTGGCTTAGGCTTAGGGGCTCCAAATGAGGCCCTGCAATGACCCCTACTCATGTGCTCTATGTTCACGGCCCTGGGCTCTTTACCATCAGGTTCAGTCTCACTGGTTCCAAGTGCTCCTACTGGGACACAGAGTCCAAATTCTTCACCACTACTTTATCATCCAATAAAAATAAAATCTCATAGTTATTGTAATTACTGCATGCTTCATGACAAATTTACCCACAATCTAGGGCATGGTACTGGTACTGTCTGTCTTCTTCTCAAATGAATACTATAAAAGGATTACATTATAGTGTCAGATATACAGCCATAAAATACATGTATTCAATAGAGAAGAAAAAACATGAGTGCTATCAGGTCAAGGTAGTAGCCAGAATCACACAAACAGACAAACTAGCAATTCCATCTTCTGATTCCATGAGAAATTGTATCACATTAAATAAACTGAAAATAAGCTTGATTTTACTAAGCCATAAAATTGAGAAATTAAGGGTGGAGACATGGCTCAAGTGGTCTCATGCCTGCCTAACAAGCCTGAGT